TCAAGGGGGAATGGGAGGGGAGGAGGGGAGGAGGGGAAGGGAGGAGATGAAAAGGAGGAGAGGGATAAGGAGAGGAGGGGTGAGGGCAAAGGAAGGGGAAGAGAGGGAAAGGGAGGAAGGTCAAGAGGGAATGGGAGGGAAGAGAGGAGGAGGGGAGGGGAGGGACAAGGGGCGGGGGGGGGCTCGGGCCCAGGCCTGATGCGGAGAGCTGCCCTCAACGTCCCCATCCCCCACATGGGCCCCCACCCCAGGAACCTTCCCAGCCTCTGTGTGCCCCTCGAGTCCCGCCTCCGAAGACCCCTCACTCACTCTCGCGGCTCCCGGCTGCGCCCCCGCAGGGCCCTCCCAGGGCCGGGCCAGGGCCAGGGCCAGGATCAGGCGGCCGTCACTAGCAACTCCGTCCCCATAGTAACGCGGCAGCGTCGGCGGGCGCAGGCATTTATTTGGAGCCGAGGGCCGAGCACAAAGGAGAGGAGAGCGAGGAGCCTAGAGCTATCGATCGATAATTCCATCGGAGAAGGTAGAGTCTTTGCTCATCTTGCGGCAGCGGGTGGACCGGCTCTTCTGGGAAAAGGGGCACTGGCACTGGGGCTCTAGGAGGCTAGGGGGTGGGGGGAAGAGTGGCATCAGAAGAGAGATACACAATATGTACAGCGGGAAGGGACCATATTGTTGTTTGTTGTTGTTCAGTCGTTTCAGTCGTGTCAGACTCTTCTTGGTGATCCCATTTGGGGTTTTCTTGACAAAGATACTGGAGTGGTTTGCCATTTCCTTCTCCAGCTTCTTACAGATGAGGAAACTGAGGCAAACAGCTAAGCGACTTGCCCAGGGTCACACAGCTAGTGAGTATTTGAAGTTGGATTTGACCTCAGATCTTCCAGGCCCGGCACTCTATCCACCGCGCTACCTAGCAGCCGGGAAGGGACCCTACCCCATTTTACAGACAGGAAAATTGAGATCCCGAGAGGTCTGTGAGCACACAGCTTGAGCAAAAAGCTGGTCCCAAGCCTGAACGCTAAAGGCAGCATTCCCAGGGAACCCTGAGGCAGAAAGAATAGTTTACATTACAACTGAGATACTCAATTTGAGAGGAATTTGGGGAGGTCTAAAACAATCTACAAACGGAGGTGTTGTTTTTATTAGTGGTAGTGTGAGCAGTACAACTGAAGAATTGGAAGGGAGCAGGGAAAAGAGTGGAGAGAACCTCCTAAGGTTCACAGAATTCAGAGCTTAAAGGGCCTTTAGGCATCATCACCTAGGACTGGGGTTCTAAAACTTTCTGGCCTCAGGCACATACACTCTTAAGAGACTACAATCCTAGAAATTATTGAGGACCGCAAAGAGCTTTTGTTTATGTGGATTATATTGATTTTTACTGCTTTAGAAATAAAAACGTAAAATTAAAAAATAACAATTCATTTGAAAATAACAATAAACCCATTATGTATCAACCAAGATACTTTTATGAAAAAAATAACTATTTTACAAAATTAAAAAAAAATGAGCTGAGTCTCATTGTTTTACATATTTTTTCCAAATCTCTTTAATGTCTGGCCAGATAGCAGACAACTGGATTTCTTGTGCATTCTTAATGCTTCTGCATTCAGTCTATTGTGGTATGTTGTTTTGGTTGAAATATGTGAAGAAAATCCAACCTCACAAAGATATGTGGCAAATAAAGGGAGGAGTATTTTAATAGGCAAATAATGTCTTAGTATTATTATGAAAATAGTTTTGACCTCTTGGACCCCTTGAAAGGGTCTCAGGGATCCTCAGGGGTCCTTTGACCGCTCCTTGAGAACAGCTGATTTGGTACAACCCACTGATTACACAGATGTGAAAACTCCAGAGAGATACTAGATGATAATACAGTTAGGTGGATTTGAAATTAATTGAATGACTGGACCCAAAGATTAATCATTAATGATTCCATGTTAGCTTAGAATACAGTGTCTATGGGAGTGCCTCAGAGATATGTATGGCCTTGTGCTTTAAAAAATAAACCATTTTTATCAATGATTTGGATTTAAAAATATGGATAGCATGCTCATTCAATTTGCAAAGGACAAAGCCAGAACGGGCAGCTATAACACATTGGTAATAGAAACAAAATATAAAATGGGCTAGAACATGGGGGCTGAATCTAATGAATTGTAATAGGGATAAATGTAAACAAGTGGGTTCAAATCACAAGTACAAGATGGGGAAACCATGGCTAGACAGCATGTTGTCTGAAAAAGATCAGGGTGTGTTACTATACTTGTGTTTCAGAGGATGAGAGGAATACCCAGTACTAGATGAAGTGTCTTTCAGGAAGGTACCAGGTTTCAAGGAGTGCGAAATAAAGAGAATGAGGATGAAAAGAAGTTTATTAGCAGTAGAGCAGAGTGAGTGAAGTGAGCAGAATCAGGAGAACGTTGTACATAGTAACAGCAACATTGCGAAATGATCAGCTATGATAGAATTAGCTCTTCTCAGCAATACAATGATCCAACACAATTCCAAAAGCTCATGATGGAAAATGCTGTCCACATCCAGAGAAAAAATTGATGAAATCTGAATGCAGATTGAAGCATGCTATTTTCACTTTCTTTGGGGTTTGTTTATTTGTTTTTCATTTTTTTCCCTTTTGTTCTGTTTCTTCTTTTACAACATGACTAATGTGGAAATATGTTTAACATGTTTGCACATGTATGACCTATATCAGATTGCTGTCTTGGGGAGGGGTAAGGGGAAGCAGAAAAATTTGAAACTCAAAATCTTATTAAAAGTGAATGTTGAAAACTATCTTTACATGTAATTGGAAAAAAAATAAAATACTATTTACATAAAAAAATTAGAGCAGGGCAGCAGTTATGTTGACTTTTTTTTTCCTTTCTTAAAAAATATTGTTTGTCATATTGGGATGACTTTCATGGGTTGCATGGGATACTATGGTGATGTAAGGAATAGAAAATAATAATAAAAACTTTAAAAAAAAGTCAGAGAAGGGCTTTCAGAAGACACAGTGAGGACAGAGGAGGATAAAGACTATGGAGGTAGTAGGGCTGAAGTGTTTATGGCTGAAAGTGATAATAACTAGCATTTATATAGCACTTTAAAGTTTTACAAAGTGCTTTACAAATATGATTTTATTTGATCTTCACAATAACTCTGAGAGGTAGATGCTATCGTTATCCTCTTTTTAGAGATGAAGAACCTGAGGCAAACAGAAATTAAATGACTTGCCTGGGATCACACAGCTAGTAAGCATCTGAGACCAGATGTGAACTTAGGTCTTCCTGACCACAGGTCTAACTGCTTATCCACTGCACCACCTAGCTGCTACAAGGAATACAAGGAACAGTAGTAGGAAGAAATAATTTTCACCTGAACAGAGCTCAACTCTGAATAAGTGGGATAAGTGGAGCAGAAGATGAAAGTTTGCCTACCATAACGTGGAGAAAGAACCAGATGATCAGGGTCTTCTATGACTGTGTGGGAGCAATGGCACCAATGGTATTCACTTCAAACACAGGGGAGCAGAGGCTATAGGAGGGTGAAAACATTAGGAAATTGTTTTCAGGCATTGGACCAGCAAAGTGTTTCAGTTTCTGAGACCCAAATAAACTCATAGTCTATGCCAGGTCAGTTAGCATTATCCCTAGGTGGTAGGAGATGAAGCATATTTAGAAGCATCCTAATACATGAAAGAATTACTAAGCTCTCTTTGAGGCCCTAAGGATCTAGATCTTCGATGGGTGTGAGTTCCTCTCTAAGTAGGCCCTCTATAGCCTCTACTATTCTGAGGCTTAGAATGTTTTAGTTGTGAGTCTGAAACAGCTGCAGATAACTACCATGATAATTGGGTCCCTGGGAGCTGGACTGAACTCATGCTTGGTGTCAGCTCTGTATCTGTATCCTAGGATGAGAGGGGATGATGCACACCCAAAAAATACTCCAGATATGGAGTAAGCACAGCTCCCAGTCTTGGAGTCCCCCAAAGCACTGACTCTATATATAGTGCCTTTGGCATCCTGAGGCTCAGGATTTCTGATGGATGAGTCCCTATCAGAGGAGGCCTTCTCTTGCCTCTGAAATCCTAAGGTTTGTCATCTGAAAAGAGTATGAGTCTCCATTAGAGTAAGTAGACTAGACAGGGCAATAAAGACTTTGATTAGAGCAACTTGTACATGGAAATATTGTAATTAGTGGAGGGAGAATCATAGTAATGAAATCATAGATCTTTTGGAGCAGTCATTTACAAGAGGGATTGAACTTGTACTGCTTGGCCAAAGAGGTCAGAACTTGGAATAGTAGTATTAATGGAAGTAAAAAAGCAAAGTTAGTATTAATGGAAGTAAAAACCTCCTAACAATTATAACTAATTATTTTTAAAGTTGGAGGGAGGCAGTGAGTTCCTTTTCTTTCTTTGAATTTTATTGTACTTTTAATCTGAACTTAAAAACATTAAATAAAATGATCATTTCTATATATACAATAAAACAGAAACATAGGATTATGCATAAAACTATGAATCTGTTACATAACTTGATTTTCCTTGTAAATATATGACAAATTCATTATGTTATTTTCAAAGTTATCCTGCTTGTTTGTATTTCCTTCTGGCCTTTCTTCAATTCTCTTGTAGTTGCTTAAAAAAAAAGTTTCAATGACCCTCTTTTTTGCAAGTCTGCCACTATATTTCCTCTCCCTTTCACCTAGTCCTCCAATTGAAACACAAAAATAAAAACAAAACTGTAGCAATATGCCTAGTCAAGAAAAGTAAAATCAGTGTGTTCCTTCTCGTTAGAGATCTACAAAAGATTAGATGGCTACTTGTCTATGACATAGAATTCTTCTTCAGGGACAGATGGACCACATGCATTCCTAGGTTGTTCCAGTTCTGAGATTCTGTAATTTTGTGACTTCCCTGAGGTACCCATGGGGACCTAATAAAACAGAAATAGTAATACCCCTCACAAAGTACATGACTGTACCTCTTGGGGTTCCCCATCCCACCCCACCCATGACAGGGTGCCCATCTTGCATATCCTTCAAAGCATATGGTCCAATTCAATTTATTTCAACAAAAACACCTACTCTGTGCTGGTAACTGTTCTAGGAACTAATAATGCAAAGGTGAAAAACAATATTGCCTGCCCTCAAGTTTATAATTTAATAATCTTTAGTGCTGACTAATCATTAAAATAACAATGTGAAAAGTCACAGAGGAATCCAGTTCTCCTAAATATGCTGTAGCAGAGACTGAAAAAGGGTACCAGATTGAATAATGATCAAGAAATCCAAAGAGAAACAACAATAATTTCCTCCACATAGCTCAAAGATGTCAAGAAACCATGTGTTCTAGAAGTGGTAGTCCCACCAAG